ACCACAGTTCAAATGATCATCTTTGAGGTGCTTAATCCAAATATCACTCACCCATTGGTGGGGCTGTCAAAGCGGGTACGGCCCAAGCGCAAACCATCAATTTCGGCGACAAACCCAAATCGAAGCCACCACATTCCTGGGCCAAACGTCAGGGTGCAACTTTCTCTGAAAGCCTGTCCATTCCAAAATGAAGCTTCATTCAAACTTGGACCCAAAAGGTGATGTTTGACCTGCCCCATGCAGCCGAGAGAAGGATTGAGCCCACTCCTTTCGTAGAACTCATCTACCGCATCCTGAAGAAACAAAGGTGAAAACCAGAGGGGTCCTCATCAGAACGTTGGGTTGACTCATAACTAGGGGCCCAAAAAACAACCCACCTCCAACTGTCGGATCCTGTTTTGTCTTCGGCATCTGCTCACCCCGACGAAGGGCTCAAAGGGGGGTTTCCTCTACCTCTGTGAAAGAAATACACACTTTCATGTGCCGGTGTCATAATTTGCCTGTCATGTTTGTTTCCCATCTTGGAACCCAAAAGGGTAAATAGAAATGGAACACCCAGCATGCAAATGGAAGGACGTGTTAAAGAACCAGGCCCTGAGGCACATAACGATTGTTCCCTCTAGACCCAGCAACAAATCTACTATGTTGCATGGGGATATCCAGCAGTTGTGTCAACGCTGCCTTATCTTTCAATTGCTTTTGAGGGTTGCAAAGAACAACTAAAAAGGAACTTGCCGTTGTCTGCGTGTGCCAGTCGCCAACCCAGCCCCACCAGCGGCCACTCCTGCCGAAGCCCAAGTCAACGTACACCCATGCCGCGAGTCTCACTCTGGGCTGGGTAGATGTAAGGGCTTTGGGGGGGAGCTCTGTAAAGTTGATGCCAAAATTGAGCGGATGCGAACTTGACGCATGCAAGTTTGATGCCACACAAGCACCCAAAAGTATGGACAAACCGTAGGGGAAAAACAGCCAGAAGAACAATGCTTATTTCACAAAAGGGAACCGGATAGAACCCGTGGGAGTCGTTTTATTCACCAGCTGACGTCTGGTCCTTGAGCCAAATTTTACGCCGCGCACTCTGAGTTGGTTGCCGAGATTGTTGCCCCCTAAAACACCGTGATCCCGGTCCTACTTTTCCGCCTCAAGGCTGAAAGGCCGCGTTGACATGCTCGAGAAATTATGCCACCCTGGGTTGACCTGTCGCATCTTTGGGTTCTGGGTGTCTCTTTCGTCTTGGAGCTGGTAGCCATCTTGCTCGTGCGCTCCACAGAGAAGCAAACGTGAATCCCAGGCACAGTTCCAGGGTACCCTCTTTCAGAGACAAACCTAAATAATAATAAAAACATCTTCACGAAACATGCTTCATTGGGTTGAACTGGGTCCATTAATTCACGTGACTAATCCTCTCCAAATGGTGGCGCAAGGAAAACCACATGCAAAAGTAAGTTCGAATGCGACCGCTTCAAGGGTACAGCGACTTTGCGGGGAAACCATCTGGACCCACAAGAACCGCTTTCATTTTCCCAAACCAATCTGGGCTTCCTGGAGGAGCCCGGTCGCGCCACGATCATCGGGAGCGCCAGCTCCAAGGGCCGGGCGAAATCATCCAGGCTCACCAGACGATTGTCCTGGCAATAGGTCGCACACGGATATGGGTCAAAATTACACCACCAGGAATTGGACCGCAGGTTTTAGTTCATGTTTCCATTTTCCAGGGTTTCATTTTGGGGTTACCCAATTTTTGACCTACAGCCACACCATCCTTACCAAGCGGGGCCATTTTCGGGGGCCATTGGTGTTCTGACAATGAACCGGAATCCTTAAGCAGGCTGTCCAAGATCCTGGTTACCAAGGCCTTTAACTCAGGGTTTATGACCGTCCTTACCCCGGTGGGCGGCTGGGTTGTTGGGTTGGGCTGGATGTTGCCCATGTTTCACCCCCTTGGTTCCTACCATGTCCTGACAGAACACCTGGTACTCCCTCTTTCAAATATTTGGATACCAGCTCCTTGGCTTCCTTCCAACCACCCGCTTGGTCCATCCAGACCCGACACCCGGGTTCCTCAGGTAGGTCCGCCAAAAGCACCCGGGAGACCAGGCGCAGGTTCGCATCCACCTCGGGACCGAAACCCGGCCCAGGACGCCAAAAGGGAGAGGAGTTCCCCCCCAAAAAAGGGTTCCCTTAAATAGGTGATGCCCATGGAAACGGAGTTATTTGTTTGTCGCAGGGAGCAACGTTTCGCAAGCCGTGCGCTTCGTATGCATTTTCAAGGGAAAACCCAAGTGTGATCCTGAGCATGCTTTTGGGAAAGCACCCCGAATTGTAGACAGTGGTTTTCCTGATTCGGATCCTGCGACTGTTTTAATTTATCGGCCCCGCACAATAGAATGTGTCTTCCCCGAGAGAAAGCCTGGGCAAAAACACTCACACATCAATTTTGAAAGCCTTATCCACTTACTTTTGAAGGCCTTAGATCTAGAAATTCCTGCCTTTGAGATGGCCCCAAAACCATCGGTTTCATATAATTCCTTAACGAGGCCAGACAAATCTGACAAGTTTGGAGTCCACTTTGATGTCAATATTTCCTTTGGCGAGTGTGAAACTCCAATAATCAAAGCTGTGGCCGTTGACTTTTCAAGGGCGGTTTATCTAAGCCCTTTCCAGCCAAAGGCCCTGGATCTAGGAATTCCTGTCTTTGAAGTCTTCCTAATAACAGCCGAAAGGTCGACTTTGGGCTGGACCACTATGGGGTACATTTTTCAAGCTGCGCGGCAACCAGGGAGCTCGGTTTTGGCACCGGCACGGTCGAGCTGACGTTTTGGTCTTTGACCGTTTGCTTCGACCCTTCTGGTTTCCTTTTGAAAAATTAAAGACTTGTGGCTGAGCAATATAGCAAACCCACCTCTGGTCCCTCTGGCCCCGCCGGGTCATGTACATGTTCTGCAAATATCACCCTGCTGCAGGGCAAATCAGTTTAACATGGCCCGAAAGGTGATGTTGAAATCTGGCTGAGAAGGGACATGTCAGAACCCTGCATTCGGGTATGTGCTATGATAGGCGGACCTGAGAAATTGTGGTTGTCCTCTGTTGGTTTCGTAAGCCAAGGAGGAAAACAAACAAAAACTGGCTACTCGCAAAGAGGCCACACGTTGATTTGGCCCAAGCCAGAGGCAACTTTCGCCGCTTTTGAGGCCCGCCGATGTCAACTTTTTTGCGCGATGCCGGGTGAGCCGTCCGCCTTCAAGTCTTCGGCTTCATGTGTTTTTTTGTCTTCTCTCCGAGGCCCACTGATGTTTCAAGAAAATGGGTCACCTTTTGCTGGAACCCTGCAGACAATCGGAAGATCTCATGCTTTTTGGCAACACCCCCAGAACTCCATAACTTTGTACATGCCGCCAACTACATCGCCCCATTGAGCCGGGCCAAACTGCCAAACTGCTCCGCAATCCAGCTCGGAGCCGTCTGGGCCAACGCAACCCAGTCAATGGAAGCTTGAGTAGTAGCCTTGTCCATTTCATGCGGTTCCCGGGTTTGGTAGGGTCCTCCAGGTTAACCAGGTTAATCCAAAACTAACATTAGCAGCCAAATGGACCCGGCAGCTTCCATTGTGGCGTGCCATCACGATCAAGCCGCCTGGCTGGCCCGCAATGGGCCTCACTCATTCTCCCTGCACCTCGCGTGTGGCACAAGGCCGGGCCAAAGCCCGGGAACCCATGCGGCTTTTGCCTCGCGCCCTTTCGATTCGAACCAGCCGGCCATCAAAACTTGGCAGTCGATCCATGTGTTTACTTCATCTTAACGGCCTTCCTCCTGAACCTTAATACCACAAAAACTGCAACCCGCCCATTTCATTTCCTACCATGCCGGTGTTCCAGGAACCTGGCCATCGACCGGAGCACCCAACCTCCTCTTCCCTCTCATTGGTGGTTTGGATGAGTGGTTTGGAGGATAAGGGGGTGGTTTCCCATTCGCCCTCCAGAGCCAGAGGTTCAAATCCCACCATTCCAACAATTAAGGGTGCCTGACAACCATCATCAGAGCTCGAACTGCCAACAAATGCTTTTCTCCAAGGTCCAAAATCCTGAGTACTGTCCAAAGGCAGTGGTTGATATGGACCCGCGTGCTGGATACGACTGGGAGAGGTTCGAACCAAGGCGCTACCCCCTGACTCTGCAGATACGACGCAGGCGGGTACTTGGGCTCTCCGAAGCCAGGCGCCACCGCCATCCTTGGGCTGGGGGGGGGGGGAGGGAGGGCTGGGGATCGGGCGTGCCTTTCTCAGGCGACCCGCCCGCGGGGCACCTTGCGCATTTCGAAGACCTGAACTAACCAGCAACCCCCAACTGCTTCTCACTGACTCCCGTTCCTAAGGTCTTACCAAAAGCACGGCCCCTTTTGGTGTGATTAAGACACTGGACCCGAAAGCCAGGCGTGCACCAAGATGCAGCAAACGTCTTTTGCACCCCTGCAAAACCCAGACTTGGGCCTTGCGAAAAAGAAAAAACAAAAAACAGAAGCCAGAGCAATTGGGAAACCATCATTTGGTATTATATTGTGAACTTGCGAGCATGTCCCAAGCCAATTTTACGAAAGCTTGAAGCTTTTCCGGAAAGAAGGACCACCCCCCCCCCCCCCCAATTTGCACCACACCAGGCAAGCGGTGTGGACTTGAAAATAAAACAGTCTCGGAACAGGGGAAGTTATCCCAAGAAGGCGAGCAAGGCGCTCGTAGTCGGCGGTGGCGTTGAAGAAGAAGGCGAGCGAGTAGCGTTGCTGCGCCTCGGCGAAAGCCACTGGGGCCGTGGAAAACCTCAAAGGACGCGTAATGTTAAACCATGAAGAAACCCTGTACTATCAGTAGGGGGGTGTCCCTGGGTTTAGTGGGGAATCATCACTTTTGGAGGGAACACCCCCCCCATCAATGAACTGAGATTGATCAATCTGGGGGTTGCATTTCTCTTAAACCAAATATCGCCCCGATCACAGGACACGGCGGGAACCCTTTTGGCCGTGGGTGGGGAACCCCCCAGAAATCCCGAAAAGCCCGCTTTAACATCACCCCAAGAACGAACCCAAAGAATCCCCGACCTTTTCTCCTTGAACGCCCCACTTTTTCAGCCCCATATTCAAATGGAGGACGAAAACCACACGCTGCCAGGCCAAGGCGCGCTGCTGTTCAGCACGTAGTGCCGGGCAGATTGGAAGGTGTCCTTTGAGGACCCAAGGTCGGTTGGTCATTCGACGTAGAACAGGGGTATGTGGGGGGGCGGGGGGGGGGCGGGGGGGGCGGCAGAAATGGTTTGATACCTCAAAGAAAAAACACACACACACAAAGACACACCACCTTGGTTTCTGGTAGCCTTGATAAAGCCTCTTGTATACAGGGTGACCCGGCCGGAGGGTAGAAGAGTACACTCTTGATGTTTTGTTTTTTCCCCGTACAGGGCTCCAAAAGCCACCTTGTGAGGGGACAGTCTATCAGCTAAGGGTGATTCTGCTCAAATTTGGTCATCTTAATGCGCGCAACCTGGATGCCGTAGTCAGCTGGTGGGGCTCAACTACCGGAAACCGCCAGGCGTTTCAAATCACAATCCAAAATTAGGACAAGTGGTGATTGTCCAACAAGTGCTGACCAATTTATTGTTACTCAGTTTTTCTGGCACCTGTTATTTCCTTTTAAGGGCTTCAGCCGTTAATTTAGTGGAATCGTTGCTTTCAGGTTTCGGTCGTCAAATGGAAGCCCCCAAAAGTTGAGGTCGGTAAGTGGGGTACGAATGCTTTGCCACTTTTTCCCGAGCGGGCCACGTTTTGAGAGAACCAACCAAAAGAAGCACCTGGATGGGGTCCCCAGTTGAAACCCACCTAAACCAACATTTGTAGAGGAGCCCCCCCCCCCGCAGGAGGTCCCATGTTTGTGGACGGGAGGGTAAGAACTTTAAACGGTGTTTGCCCCACCCGCTTCTTGGTTGGCCGCTCGCCACGAATCCCGCGCGAATCCTGGCCGACCGCCTGGCCGACTGTCTGACTGCCGCCCAGGCGTCATTGGAGGTTTGCCGCAAAATCCTCGCAATGCCCAGTCGCCAGGGAGCAACAGCTCGATGTAATCTTTAAAAATTAGCTGGTCGATTCAAGGCGGAACAAATCATATTTTGCTTGTCGATGCTTGAGGGATTGTTTGTTTTACTTGTTTGTTGAGTTTAGAGGGAATTTAGAATTCAGCTGGTTTACTTTAGAGGGGCCCTATAGTTTACCTGGTTGATTTGGGAAGGACACCCCAACGTGTTTCTTTTCTAGAGTAGTCGTTTGCTGGTTTACAATAGGACGCCCAAGAAAAACAGACATATTGGATACTGCCACTTGACAATTTGATCAAAGTGACAACTTGACCAAACAGAAAACCCGCAGCCAAACCAACATATCGCAACCACAACGTCCAACTAATTGTACCAACTGGTTGATCAGAAAACACGCCTAATAACCACCCCAAAATATATTATTATTGTTTCTATCTTTAAAAAAAAGAGGTCCAAACAGGTACCAATTGCTTGATTCTGAAGCACACAAGCAAGCCAGGGAGCAACCAAACGGCGGGCGCTGGAAGTGGGCCCCCCACAATGTGTACTCCCTGGCGTTCCCTTAAAAACCACCCCACAAGGAGGCACATCCGGAACAAAATGCACACACACACACACACCCATATTCGCCTGCCTCCCACAATGGAAAGCTGACAGGAGGGTTTCGGAAGACGACTTTGCTTTTTCGGAAGACGACTTTGCTTTTTCGGGGTGGGTTGCGGGCGTCCGCTTGAACATTTTGGAAAGACAGCACGTTTCTAAGGATTCATTCCCCATTCTTTCCAACCATCGTTCTTTTCTCAAACCGGCCGTTTCCCTGGGTTTCCGGCGGTTTTCTAGAAAGATCCGGATCCCTGGATCCAAAAACATTTTATCGTATTGACGTACCCGCCCTCCTCAATGTTATTTTTCTGGTACTGGTTGATATCCCTGGGGAAAAAACAACAAACGGGGCCGGTGGCACGAGAAGCTTCTCCGCGAGATCGCCGAGTCTCTCCCCGGCATTCACCAGCAGCAGGCCAGGTCGATTTGGCACCCGCACCCAGCGCTGAGAGGAGAAGGCCCAAACCTCCGTTCTCGAGAGGTCTCGATGCACTCCGCGGGTGCTTGGCCACCAATGGAAGCTTTGGGCAAATGAAACCCAAGGTTTACATGGATATTTTTGGGAGAAAAAAAGAGGTGAGTCAAAGAGAAGCTGTTGGACGATTTTTGGGACCTCCTCACCTTCTTGGCCTTTGGTGGTACCTCCCAAGGGTAATCTTCAAGCCGGCCCAAAGATCCCAAGCGAGACTCAAGCCGAGGCGCCACGAGACTGGCCTCAGACTCCACGCGGTGCAGCAAAGTGAAGAAGGAGGTGTCCACGTGGGGCGCGATGCCGTACTGCTCCTCCTCATAGCCTCCGCTTTCGCTCTTCCCAAGAATTGTGTCCTTTAGAAGCAATTGAACAAGGTCACCTTTACTGGGCTTTTGGGTTGAAACACCCCCAAGAATTCAACGATTCTCAAAGGAGCCATGGGGGGTCCATGGGCCCTTGGTCCCCTTTTGCTTGGTTGTGGGCAATTCCCCGTTGGGAGTGCAAATGCGTTGCCGCAGTTTGTTTGCTTGCTGCGGTCATCACCCCCAGCATCACCAATATTTTCGTAGAGAAAACGAGGCAAATATTGGCCCTAGTTGTGATGCTGGGGATGCGAAAGGACGACATTGACCAACAGGGAACCAGCATCTCGTTGCAGCTCGATGGGGTGTCCCCAAATGGCTAGGCTCGCTCAAAAAAAACGTCCGCAAGCTAGCCTGTTAGTGGCACATGCAGTTCTCTTTTGTGGACAGCCCTCGCGATGCGTTGCTCGGGAGGCAAAACTGTCGCCTACAAGTGCACATGACGCTAGATGGTGTGATTGTGTCTTGCTCAAAGATTATATTTTGGCAAGTTCATTGTGCTTGTTTGTTCATTTGAAGCAGTTGGTTATACATGGTAATAATACTAGCAGGTTCCCTCTGGGGGGATATTAACCGCCTCTGGGTTCAGACTTCAAGCTCGTAACAACCTGCATCTTGGCATTGTTTTGGCTTCCCTTTGGCTTCCCTTTTGTATCCTTGTGGTATCTGCGTTGGTTTCCCTTTGGTCTCCTTTGGTTTCTTGCTTCTTTGGTTGTCCTTTGTCTGCTTCTGATTTCCCTTGGTTTCGAACCATGCGGGGCTTCCCTGCTCCGCGCCTCCTGGTGGCACAGGGGGATAGCTGGACTGGCGCAAGCGCCACAAGGGGCTCCGGAAGGCAGGTGCCAGGAAGTCTTCCGCCTGACGCCGATGTCTGTCTGGCTGAAGCCTGTCTAGGTGCTCCAGTAGAGAGGTTAGAATAAGGGTACCCTTTTTTCTGTAGTCTATTTTAGTAGGGGAACCCTCCTCCAAAAAGGGTAAAAGGGCACTACTGGGGGACCTAGCAGCTCTATAGTAACTCTGTAAGCCTTTTCGGCAATAGACTCTAAGAAGCAGCACCCGGGTCCATAGCGACCGCTGTTGCTTGGTTAATGTGCTTTGGGTTTTGGACATGGGAACAGGAGTTGCTGGGGGGTGCTGCTCTACGTCTAGTTGTTGGTTCCAAACCTTTTCTATCCAACATGCAAGCAATTTGCACCACTTTTGGGGGAAGCCACCCAGTCCAACTTCTACGAGGTTCCTTTCTGGGTTTGGGGGTCCTTCCATTCAGCGGTGTATCTTGGATCCTGCCCCCAAACACGAATTAACTACCAGTCCAATTTGTTTCTCCTTTTTTTTGGCGGCAACTCTTCGCCCTCGAAAGCAGCCTTCGGATCCTTCGGTCAAGCCGCGGAACACCTAACTGCAGGTCATTCATTCAGGACCAAAACTGGCAAAACGCTTCAAAGCATCCAGGCGCATCCAGGTTCGTCATCAATAGAACAACACATGCCAAGATACCCCCGCATAAAGCCAACCGCAACGAGGGAATCTCCAGCTAGCTGGGTATGGGTCAAAATGAACCCACCAGCAAAAGGACCGCAGGTTTTAGTCCTTTCCGTTTGCCAGGGCCTGGCGCCATTTTGGGGTTACCCGATTTTTGACCACCGCCAGCTCGTTTCGTCTTAAGAAAACCCCGCCTGGCCCAGCGCCAGGGACAATGGGCCCAGCAGCTTCAGCGCCAGCTGCTCCATGGCAGAGCCGTAGGCCTCCACTTGCTGCCGCCACGCCGGCAGCTCCTCCCGCCGCTGATCGCGTGCCGCTCGGGAGGGGGGAGGGGGAACTGCCCTCCCGCCAACTAGCGCAGCGGTCCTGGATTGGACCATGTGTTTTTTGAAGGGAAAACTGTGTCAGGTTCCATGTTGAGTGGCGGGAGGGTGCATCAAACAAACAACCACCATCGCGAAACAACGCATACCAAGACGTTCAAGGACAAACCCCCGAAACCCACCAAAAGCTGGAGACAAAACAACGGGGCGCCACGTGATCCGGGGAAACCCGGATGGGGAGGTGTTCGTCCTGGGGCCAGGGCATCTGGTCCAAGGTGATGTTCCTTGGCCCCAGCTCGCGCTTCACGATGAAGGCCTCCACCACGTTCCTTGGACGACCCAATGGGCAGGTGGGTTAACTATCTAGCAAGTAATGGCAGGTGGGGCGCGGGGGGCGGGGGGGATTCTCCAGTTTTGGCGGCTTATGAGTCTGGGGTAGACTAATGGGGGGGGGGGGAGTGGAAGCTTCCATGGAACCGAACCAACCCATCTAAACCACCAATTCAAAATAAGGTTCTCACTCCCCGGCCGAGAGGTTGGCTGCAAACAAAACCAATCTGAGAAGAACTGTTGAAGCAGGGCTGGCCTCAGATCCCCTGCTAAAAGTTGAACTTTGAGTGGGTTAAATAGGAACCCCCACTAAACCCTGAAAAGCTTACAGTAAAAGTTAAGGGGATGCCTGTGAGCCGCCATCGAAAGGGATCCCTGACCTGGTTCTCGCACATGCCCATGTAAGCTCCCCTTGCCCTCTCCCAATCGCTCCTGCGCATGGGCACGTGCAGAGAATATCATTGGATGGCAGGATTGCCTGCTTGGGCAAGTTGACCAGGAACTAGAACAGTCTCGCACAACATCGCACTTGGACTCTTTAGCACAACAACCAATAAGTCACAACCCTCGCTTGTTTTGGAAATAAAAGCACGTGACGGCGTTTTAGGTTTCAGCACACTCCAACCACTGCTGTTTGGAAAATGCCGACCAGTTGGGGGGGGGGGGGGGTATTTCCTGGTTTGGGCCCTGTTTTGTTCGAGAAGCAAACAAAGCCGACGAAAAAGGGGCCGCCCCCGAGCGACTGAGCTGTGGGTTTGAGGCTCCCCTTTGCCCGCTTCGGCAGCTTCCGGTTGTGCAGCGGCAAGTAGCCTCGGAGACAAGGCTTAAAGGACCCGTCAGCTTCCCACTACTTGGTGGTTTGGTTAGTGTTTGTGGAGGGTAAATGGGAAACCACTCCTTAGCCATCCAACCAACAATCCAAACCACCAAACAAGGAATCAGGGTTCGGGCAAATCCCATGAACCCCCCCCCCGCATTACAAGCCCCTGGAAGCTTCTAAGAAAAAAACGCTCACACACTTAAACGAGGGTGGGGCTAGGTGACCTTCCGGTTGGAAGTATCTGGGTGGTTCATTCGTATTTGGGTGTTTCATTGCTCATATTCGTTACCCCATACTCTAGTTGCTAAGCTCCAGGTATTGATATGAAGAGGCGCTGAGTACCAGCTGGAACACTCAACTATTCCAGTTCATTGCCAAGCACTTGAGTTTGAGATCTGTAGCGCACTTGGGCTGACACTTGGGCTGATGATTTTTCTTAAACAAGCACACACGTTTTCTTCTCAATTGTTTTTGGCAATGAAAGGGGGCCAGGGAGCACTACAAAGCCTTGCTGTGTCCTGGGCGCATCCCCAAATGAAGGGCCAAAGGGATCAGATGATTAAGGGGGGCCTGGGCCCCCCCCCCCCACCAAAATCCTGCAAAAAACATATTTTCTGGACCATTCTGGACCTCGTCAACCTTGAAGGGGGGAAGGGGGGGGGGGGTGAATGTTCCACCATTATGCATCAGCCTCACTGGCAGCATCCACTGTGTCAGCGCGCTAGTATCATTTTAGTATTGGGGAATAGTTCTTTGGTATTGTGTTGGTGTTGTGTTGGTATTGTGCTAGTCCTGTTTTAGTTTGTTTTAATTGGTTCCTGTGTTTAATGTTTGTGGGAAAAGGGGATGCTTTTTATCGGGGGGGTTTAGGAAGGTGCCAAAAATATTCACACATTTTTGTTGGTCAAACCTGGTGGGCCCCTTTAAAGTACTATTGGCTGGCGATCGGCTGGAAAAACGGATGCCTTTAATCTCAGGGGGATTGTTCATCATGTTCCACCAATACTGTAGAAGCTGAGCCCCAATGATAAGCATGAATGGGCACAGTAAACAAAACATTTCAATACCAAGTGTTGGCGTGCAACACAATGCAGCCACAACACCACCATCTCATTTCGAACAACACCCCCGGCGGGCCTTGAAATTTTCGAGGTTTGTCGGCGTCCAGCTCCATGGGCCCATTTTTGTCGCAAATGCGCTGAAAACAGCAAAAAGTAAAAAAGTCTGTTTGTCCCAGGCCCGTCTGACGTGCTTGAGACTAGCCCCAGACCCAGCCAGCAACCCCAGCCCAAGCCAGCAACCTGTCTGATGCACCCGTTGCCTTTGAGGGCCTTGGCGTATTTATTCAAGCTTGCAGGCACCTACGTGGACTTTGGTGGCAATGTGTGATTGTCAGATGCCATGCCTAGAGCAACTGGCAGCCAGCTAGCTAGCTGTTTGCCAGTGTGTTGCCTAATGATGCTTGGCTGCCACCTAGCTGGCAGCCAAGAAATTGGCGACAGGAGAAGTTTCAAGCAATTGCCTGAAGGATGGCCCAGAGCTCCACCGTAAGGTGATGGGACCCGTCCAGGAAGGAGGTGTTCAGCAGAAACTGCCCGTGCAGCAAGGACTAAGCTGGGGACTTGGAGCAAGGCAAGGGAGCAACAAGTTGTGTTGCAAGAGCCAGGATCCTCAGCAGATCTGGGGTCCGTCCAGCAAGGAGCTGGGACCTGTCCAAGAAGGAGGTATGCAGCAGAAACTGCCCCCATAGCCCCGTCCAGGAAGAAGGTATTCAGCAGAAATTGCGAACCTGTCCAGCAAGCTGGGACCCGGAGCAAGAGCCGGGATCCTCAGTGACCTTTCCCCTTTTGCAGGGTCAGCTTCACATCCTTCTTCTGCTTCCCCCCTTCACATCCTTCTCCTTCACTCTTCACATCCTTCTCCTCACTCTTCACATCCTTCTTCTCACTCTTCACATCCTTCTTGCTCGTCTCCTTCTCATCATCCTTAAGCTGGGCTGGAGCCTGCCCCTTTGCTGCAACAGAGCTCAGCAGACCGGCGGGTCTTGGCAGCTGGCGGGGGCGGGTAGGGCAGCAGCAGGTGGCTTTGAATTTGTTGCAGAGGAGGTGTGAGGGGGGGGGGCGCTGGAGCACCACCATGCGAAGCCTTCCTGTTCGCGTTAGGCGCGGGCGGGCCTGCGCTCAGCAGGTTTGCTAGCCAGTGAGACGATTGCTTGGTTTGCTGAACTCCTACTTCTTGGCAGCAACCACAACAGGCTTCTTCATGCTCAGGCCCACTTAGTACTAACTAGCTGGCTTGCTGCGCTTGAGAGAGTCAAGAGCCTTGAAGATTGAGAGTGAAGCAATGACAGCCCACGCAATGGCATAATCATCTTCGCAAAAGGAAAAGTAGCTGCTGTGGGCAACGCTGAGGCCGTGGCCTCTTTCTCCAGCAGCTGGAGGGCAAACTCGCCCTTCAACTTCTTCAGCTGGTTGCCAGCCAGCTGGCAGCCAACCTGCAGGTCCCCTTGGCTGGCTGCCAGCGAGCATTAACATGCATGGTCTCAAGCAAAGCCGCGGGAAGCAACGCGACAATACATGGCCCAAGCCTTTGCAGCGTCACAACCATGTCCCCGCAGTCCTGGCTTGCCGGGTCGCAAGGCATTCTTGGACCTCGGGCCTGACTTTTGGAGACTGCTTCAATCTCCAGTTGGTTCTTGCCAGCCGTGACCAGTTGCGGAGACAGCGCCGGCCTTTGCAAGACGATGTCACCAGCAAACGCAGGTCTTGCACCTGCCGGCGCGCCTTTCCTCAGCTCCGCATGTCCCAACCACAGCATACGCAAGGCCGACAAGCATAGAATTCTGCAACGCCAGCAAGCCGTGCGCTCTATTCCCGGCCCTGCCCCAAAAATGCATGCAAGCTAGGCTGATGCGTGGCACATTCAAGTTCCGCGGCGCGGCACGTCTGCGCGTTGTGGCCCAGGGCGCCGGCGCCGGCACACCATCAAGCAAACAGCTGCCAGTTGCTCGGCCACCGGACGCCGTCTGCACGCACGCTGCTTCAAGAGGCAGGCTATCTGGCCGGTGAGCTTGCCTGAGCCTTACAAGCATCTAACTCCGTATAAAGACACGCCACCCTGGATTGCGAAGGAGGGGGCGCAACCGTCACGCTAAAAAACAGCTGAGCTAAAAGTCTGACGCTAAACGTCTGTGATCATGGTGGCGGCCTCCTCGTGAACAACTCACTGCAAAATGTCCGGGCCACAAGAAAAATGCTTTCCAAACATCAGCGCCCCGGCTGAAGTGCTGAAAAGGAAAGCAAGCGCCCCGGAACAATAAGCTCTGGAAGCCGCGGGCGGACTTTGTTGCCACAGCGTGAGCAACCCCTCACCTCTGCCAAATGCCAGGAACGGGTTCGTCTGCTGCTGAAGCTCGTACACCTTAAGGGCTTAGGGTTCAGGAGGCTGGGGAGAAGCATGAGAAGAAGGAGGCGCCTGCACCCCTGCACAAAGGGAATGCAAAAAGGAGAGGATGGAGCAGCCCAAGCGTGAGCAAGGACGTGGAGATGCCCCTGCAGAAGAGGAAAGGTGGAGAGATGAAGGTGGGCAAAGAGGAGTGGGAGGCGAAGCAGAAGAATGCTGTTGAGAAGTTCAACAGGAAAAGCCAATGCTTCTGAGGAGATGAAAAGCGACAGACCAGAGAAGCGCAAGCTGCTGGACTTCATGGAAACGGAGATCAGGCGTGTCACAGCAAGCGAGCGCGCTCGCGAGGCCAGGGCAGTCCAGAAACAACAAAGCTTTCAACTATTTGTCTTTGACTTTTCCGTTGTCAACAGTTCCCAACCAGCACTTGTTCAATAGAAACATTGCCCGGTGTGCCCTGAGGAAGCGGCTTAAGAGACTGATGACCTCCATCGGCAAGGGAAAAGGCTTCAGCAATCCTCTCAAGTGGAACAGAACCCAAGAAGGATAACTTCATGTGACTGCGTGCGTGAGGAGTAAAAGAATTGCTGGTGCCTGAAACTGCTGCGTGTGAAACGCTTACGAATCAAGTGCTGGCAACTTGATGCAAGGTGAGCAGCTGGCCAGCCATCCTTCAGGCAATCTGGGGGGCACCATGCATGGGCTGGCTTGCTTGAAACTTCTCCTGGACTCAGGCTGTCGCCAATTTCTTGGCTGCCAGCTAGCTGACAGCCAAGTGCCACGCCAAGGCCCTCAAAGGCAACGGGTGTTGTTCGAAATGAGATGGTGGTGTTGTGGCTTCATTGTGTTGCAGGACAACACTTGCTATTGAAATGTGTTGTTTACTGTGCCCATTCATGCTTATCATTGGGGCTCAGCTTCTACAGTATTGGTGGAACATCATGAACAATCCCCCTGCGATTCAAGGCATCCGTTTTTTCCAGCCGATTGCGAGCCAATAGTGCTTTGAAGGGATCCACAAGGTTTGACCAAAAAAACGTGTGAATACCATCCAGGCCTCATTAAACACAAAACCAATTAAAACAATGCTAAAGCAAGACTAACACAATACCAACACAATACCAAAGAACTATTCCCCAACACTAAAAATGATACTAGCGCGTTGTCACAGTGGATGCCGCCAGTGAGACTGATGCATAATGGTGGAACATTTTAACCCCCCCCCCTCCCCGCAGGATTTTGGTGGGGGCCCCCGGCCCCCCCTTAATCATCTGAGCCAGTTGGCTCTCCATTTGGGGATTCGCCCAGGACACAGCAAGGCTTTGTAGTGCTCCTTCATTGCCATTGAGAAGCAAACGTGTTTTTTGCAAAGAAAAATCATCAGCCCAAGTGGGCATGTATAAAAACCCCCTATCCTTTCCCTACTACTTTTTTGACGTTCTCGTTTTTTCCCCTTATCGCTTTACAATGATTTCTTCAACTTGGCAAGTCAAACTCGAGAATCCACACTTTTCAGTACAAGTGTAAGTGCGCGAAGTACACCTCTGCAAATCGCAACTTTGTAGTACATGTAGTACGCGAAGTACACTTGCGCAGCTCCAGCTCGAGGTTTGTAACTTTGTAGCACAAGCGTAGTAAGCGAATTACACTTCCGCAGCTCCAGCTGGAAAATCACAACTTTGTAGTACACGTGTGATACTCGAAGTACACTTCCGCAGCTCCAGCTGCAAAATCGCAACTTTGTCGTACAAGCGTAGTACGCGAAGTACACTTCCACAGCTCCAGCACGTGTAGTACGCGAAGTACACTTCCGCTCCAGCTGGAAAATCGCAACTTTGAAGTATAAGTGTAGCACGCGAAGTACAATTCCGCAGCTCCAGCTGGAAAATCGCAACCTAGTACAAGTGTAGTACGCGAATTACACTTCCGCGGCTCCAGCTGGAAAATCGCAACTTTGTAGTGCAAGCGTGGTGGGCGAAGTACACTTCCACAGCTCCAGCTGGAAAATCGCAGCTTTGTAGTACACTTCCACAGCCTCCAGCTGGAAAATCGCAGCTTTAGCACGCGAAGTGCACTTCCGCAGCTCCAGCTCGAGGTGTAACATTTGTAGCACAAGCGTAGTAAGCGAAGTACATTTCCGCACATCCAGCTCGAAAATCGCAACTTTTCAGTACAAGCGCAGTATAGTGAAGTACATTTCCGCAGCTCCAGCTGAAATCGCAACTTTGTAGTACAAGCGTAGTACGCGAAGTACACTTCCACAGCCCCAGCTGGAAAATCGCAACTTTGTAGTACACGTGTAGTACGCGAAGTACACTTCCGCAGCTCCAGCTGGAAAATCGCAACTTTGAAGTACAAGTGTAGCACGCGAAGTACATTTCCGCACATCCAGCTGGAAAATCGCAACTTTGTAGTACACGTGCAATACGCGAAGCACACTTGCGCAGCTCCAGCTGGAAAATCGCAACTTTGTAGCACAAGCGTAGTACGCGAAATACACTTCCGCAGCTCCGGCTGGAAAATCGCAACTTTGTAGTACAAGCGTAGTACGCGAAGTACACTTCCGCAGCTCCAGCTGGATAATCGCAACTTTGTAGTACAACTGTAGTATGCGAAGTACGCTTCCGCAGCTCCAGCTGGAAAATCGCAACTTTGTAGTACAAGCGTAGTACGCGAAGTACACTTCCGCAGCTCCAGCTGGAAAATCACAACTTTGTAGTGCACGTGTGATACTCGAAGTACACTTCCGCAGCTCCAGCTGCAAAATCGCAACTTTGTAGTGCAAGTGTAGTACGCGAAGTATACTTCTGCAGCTCCAGCTGCAGATTGTCAAGTCTAGTTTGACAAAACGTTATCGTTTTTCCCCCTTATCGTTTTACAGGGTTTCACCACAAAAAGTCCCACCCTGACTAAACTGCAATTGGGGGGTTATTCTACAAGCCCAAGTGTCAGCCCAACTGCGCTACACATCTCAAACTCAAGTGCTTGGCGCAGTGTTTCAGCTGGTACTCAGCGCCTTATTCATTGAAGCCAAAGGATTATTCACCCTCTTCATATCAATACCTGGAGCTTAGTAATTAGAGTATGGGGTAACGAATATGAAAAATGAAACACCCAAATACGAATGAAACACCCAGATACCCTGGCACTGGCTTTTGGTTCAAAGGAGAACCCCATTTGCGTTAGGCCTTGCCCAAGTTGACTTCTTTTGATTACTTTGGCATACCTCCAAGCTTCAGGGAAAGAAACAATGGCCCCCGAAGCCACCTGAAAAAGGTGCTGACGCAAGGTTGTCCCTTGACTTGCCCTTGGCTGACCAGTTTGCACACCACACGAGGCTTTAGGGGAACCACATGCAACCCAACATGGAGGCCCCTCCTCTAAACCCGACAGCCTGCAAGAGTGCGAGAAGCGCCGACCAGTTTTTTCCCTAGCTGGGGAACACCATCTCCGGAAAACAGAAAAGGGAAACATAAGTCCGGTAGTGATAGGCTCCCTTTAAAAACCGACAAGGAAAATAAGACAATATACTCTTAAGACAATGGAAAACAAAGATCACAACCTGCAAAGTGTTCCTTGTGTTTCGCATTCCCCGCCTGTACCCCCAGGGTACCCACTCTCCGGGCGGTCCATGAGGTACTTGGCCTTTACCTGGCCAGCGGACGCAGCGACTCAGCCCAGGCTTTTGTTTAAAGGCTTTGCTAAGGATGCTACGGCTTTGAAGGCTTTTCTTGCAAACAAACCCAGCTATTCTGGGGGGGGGGAGCACAAACTAGCTAATTGTTGACCCCTGATTCAAAAGCAAATCTATTTCGCTAAGATTCGCCACTATTATATGGACGCCTCCGATTAATATTTTTTGGGCGGGGGCCGTAGCATTGCTTCATTTGAGCAGCGCTCGACATCCCTTGATTTTCAGCCTGACCCTCAAGCGTTCAAACAGCCCTCGCTGTTGAAATCCTACGACGCCACAAAGAAGGATAACTTCCTCTGGTGAAAGAAGACTTCTGGCCAGACCCCATTTGGACTTCGCCTATGCGGGCCTAGGCCCTGCATAGCCTGCCCTCCAAGTGAGTCAACTTGTTTGAGTTGCTCAAAGGGGGCGGTTAGACCCATCCAACAACCCAACTATCGACTTTGAGTTGCGGCTTCACTGCCACTGAAGTACGAAGATTCTTCACCAGTCATGACCATTTCCCCTTTCAAACTCTTTCTGACCAGAGAAACAAACGGACATGAACACACGAACACACCATCCAGCTACGACCTCAAGGTAAATTTGAGAGTCCGCCATTGATGACCCTAGTTGTGAGCCCTCGTCCAAACGTTTAAACATGCCCCGCTGGCAGTTGGTGTCCATTTTAGACAATCCAAATAGGAGATCTAAAACAACCACACACGAACATACATTCAGCCATTGATTTGCGATAAACCAAACGACTTCCCAACCAGGGGCTGGCTTCACAGGCGGATCCTTCAAATCTGCTGGTGCCGGTGGTTTTTTTCCACCGGCCCAGTGGCTATCCCCGCCGTTGGAAAGCCCGGCCTCCGGTTCCAGCGCGCAGAAGTCCCGGACCGCCTGCTCGCCCAGGGCCAGGGTCTCCGGATCAACGCCGTGGCTCTGCAGGTAGAAGAAGCCCACCTCAGCCGAGGTGAAGCTTCTTGACCCCTTACTTTTTGGGGCTTACTACTGCTGCTGCTGCTGCTTCCACTATTCCTGTTGCTACTATTCCTATTCATGCTGGGGCTTGAGTTGGGATTCTCAGCTAGGTCCTCCAGCAGAGAGGTTAGAATAAGGGTATACCCGTTTTTCTGTAGTCTATTTTGCCAGGGGAACCCTCCCTGAAAAAAGGGTAAAAGGGCAATAGTGGGGGACCTAGTCAGGTTTAGGCGTGGTTTGTGGGGTGAATTCAAGGCCTGGTAGCAACTGGTGGCGTTGGGTGCTTGGGCGGAAGAACAAGGACACCCTGAGGTTTGACCATCTTTCGTCGTGAACCTGCTCTGGCGAAAACATCCCACATCCCCAACAACCTTGGCACCATTGAGCAACATGGAAGGGGCCCCCTTAAAGCTCACGACAAATCTTCACGCTCCCTTTGCTCTCCCCAAAAAAGGCGAGCGATCAAAAAGACAAACCCCCCGGCCCATGTCCAGAAGGCAATCTGATTTTTTCGTCCGATGCAGGGACCCCTTTATGTTCCTCTGAAACTTCACCCCAAAGGAAACTCCAGCGAACATGTTCCAAAAAGTGCTGTTCAAACGGGCGGAAAAGGAAAACATAGGGACCTCTTCCCAAGTCTTGAGCGAGCAAGCCGAAGAAATGGCTTCGAAAAACAGGGTCCCCGAACTTTTCTTATCCATCCCGCCTAAAGAAAGAAGCATCTAGGCGTCAGATTTCGGTTTTCCTAATGGAGTCCCTACGAACCTGAAAACGTGAAATATAGTAAAATGTCCACCAACTACCGGGGTTTTGGCTAAGTCCCTGTACCACCCACCCACCCCACCCCACCCCACCCCACCCCACCCACCCAACTTTTCTTCTTCCCATGCCCAAATCCCCTTGGTCCCGTCCAAACAGCAGTTGAGGGGGGGGGGTGCTGGCACTTGTGCTTGGTTTTCACAGAACAGCCAGTGTTACAGACTTCTCCCACCGGCCCCCAGACGAACCCCCAAAAGGAAATATAGAGGGGGGGGTGCTGCGAGGAGCGCTGGCTTCTTGGACTCCGAGCCCTCCACCCCCCCAGCTTTCGAACAGCCGCGCCGCGCGCTCGCAGGCCGCCCGCAGCGCTTGGGCCACTTGGGCCGTGGGATCTGCGAGGTCCACCGTGGGGATCTCCTGGGGATGAAAAGGTGGAAGAGCTCCCCCAAAAAACTGGAGGTGTGCCCTCTATATCATGTATGCCCCATGTCCCCCTCCCCACCAAATGTTCCCCCCGAATAAACAATGCGGCACCAGAAGGTGTTTTTGGGAGGAAAAGCTCCCGAGTTCAAATGAAGAGCTCTCCAACAACCAGGACGTGTGTCCCAACTTTCGAAGCCCAGGCATTTCTGCATGGGCTCAACCGCCATGGCAGGGGAATGAATTTTGTCCGGGGGCTTCAGCGAACCTCGAAAAAAGACACACCCAGTTGATTGGCAGCACATCGTCATCATTACCTTTGGGGGGTCATGACCATGATTCCCTCACTGGAAGCCCTTGTGGGTTGAAACCAGTGACCCGAACTGCAAACAAGATCGGGCCTGCTTTCATGCAACTGCAGCCTACGCATATCACAGAACAAGTGTTCTAAAGCGCCCATCTCCCCCCACACCACAGGCAAGCTCGGATCCGCATGGGCCAAACAAGAACAAGGCACACGCACACATATAATGTCAAATTTGGATAGGCCTGCAATCAACTAGAGGAGCCACCCGAACACGAAATAGCCCCTGATTGACAGGGGAACCACCTCTGATGAGTTTTTGTATGGGCTCCCTTAAGCCCGCTGTTTGAAGAGAAAGGGAAACAGGGGTGTCAGGGGCCTAGGCTGGCACTTGTGAACGAGTAGGCCGAGGCCATCGATTTGGTTTGAATCCTATGAACATGGAAAAAAGGGCAACATCTTTGCGGTGGATCTTGAAGAAGGGCTCTTCCAAAAAAGCAAGAAGCAAACACATGCAGAAAGTCTGGCAACTGGGAAGTCCAAGCTCAAGCATCATCTCAAAAGACTGGTGGGAACAAGGCGCCTTCCTGTTTTGTCTGGTCGGTTCCAAAGAAACAGAAGCCGCCCCTCAACAACAGGGGCGCGCCTTTTTTTTGGGGGGGGAGGGCACCCTTCTTGCCATTGGCTTACATCAGAAACCAAAAGGAAATCACCAACCCACTCGCTGCTTTTCCTGGGGCGAATTGGGCGCCGCGGCGAATTTCTTCTCCGGCGACGGCGCCCGGCGAGAACTCGCCTCGGCGTCGGCCAGGGGGATCCGCTGCAAGGAGCTGGGCGCCTGCCAGCTGGCGGCCTCGCGCTGCAGCTGCCGCTCCTCCGGGACGCGATCCGCGATCCGGGAGCGATGGCCGGAGCGAGTTCGGGGGGGAAGAGAGGCTGTCAACATGGGGTCTGTTGGGGGGTCAACGTCAGCTGGTTGGTTCTTTCACTTAGGAAAGAACAACTTGGGTAGACTTGGATGAATCACGAGGCCGGCTGGAGCTTGAAGGCCCCAGATTCAGTGGCAGGGCAAAATGTTACAATCCAAACTGAGCTTCAATTTAGGAGACGCAGTCCCACCAGGTTTTGATTATGACTCCTACATGGGAGCAATCAGTACCAAGCATAATGGTTGATTTACCCAGCAAAGTGCCAAAGGGTGATGGGCAACTTTCAACACCCATTATCGAGCACCCCGGTTGGGTTCTGCCCCTGCCAGCCGCAATACCCAGGCGCTGACCACTTGCGTGACCTTTCAAGCATGAGAGCCTACGTGAGGGGGTTAGCAAAGCAGAGGTAGTCATGACTGTGACCCGCAGGAGTTTTGACCATGACCCGGAAGATATCAACCTGGGGGGCTTTGGGGGTGGGGGGGGGGGGGGTTCTGCCCCGAAAAGTGAATAAAGGATCCCTTCAAAAGGGGGCACCTCAGATGACACCCCCTATTGATCAACCAAGGGTTTATTCCTCCTGGGTTCTCATTCGCCCAGTTTTTAGGCGGCAATACACACAGGAACCGGGTTCACGCTTGGACTACCGGAGGCCCATGGTGAGACGGTGGGAAGGCTGTTGTCTGAATATTTAAGAGAAGGCGCAGCAGGCCGACAAGAATAGTTTCTATTCGCTTTTCCTTTCAACCCAGGGCCCGGAGGGCAGGCCCCGGTTCCCCTGATTTGAGACATGCGCAGTGGATGTTAGAACGCAAGCTTCCGCAGGATGGAGGTCCTTTTACTCTCCCGGAGTTCCAATTTGAGACTTCTAGTGCTTCGAGTAGGTCTGAGATCCATTTACCCAGAAAAAACAGATATGCCCACATGCAAACCCTGTCAAGAACGAGACAAACATAAGTGAGAGTGTGCAGCTTTCTTTGCCCCGACTACACTGGGTTTCACTTTTTGCCTTCATGGCTTTGTCCTTTTCTTCCAATCTCCGTTTCCCTAAAGTACAAACTCCAACAAGAAGACAGACTCAGCTCAAACAAGAACACATTGCTCTTAAACAATACCCGAATTCTCATCCCAATTCTTCCGCCACTTGCGGGCAACAGCTGTGCGATTTCTTATCCACTCCTTCTCCGCCGCGCTCGCCAGGCTTTCCGCGGTTGCTTGCGACCGATTGGCCTACAGGTGTCCCAGGAAGGGACTCGGTTTGTCTTAGGTAGAGACCGGGTGCAGACCCGGTTTGACCAAAGTGGAGCCAGCCTGGCTTCCTGGCCCAAGCGACAAGCCGCCTGGATCGGCCAAAAACCCTAAGCTTGTTGCTTGCCACTAAAGAGCTCCGAGCCCAACAAGTATCAAGCACCAACAGAGTCTGCTTCTTTTTGCTTACCACTGCCAAAACAACAGGTTCCCCCAGTCCCCCACGCAACTAAAATAACAACAAGCCCCCACGCAACCACGCCAAAAACAAGACAAACAAATCCAGGAGCAACTCAAGACGCTTTGAGTCAACCCCTCGGCCTGCGGGCTGCGGCTGCGGCTTTTGGGCCTCACCGCCCGCAAGAGCCGGTCCAGCGCTCCCTCGCCCGCGCTGTGCTCCGAGCGCAGGGACCACTCCTGCCGCGACTTTCGGTGGGAGTTGAAAGGAACACATGCGAAAGGGAGCAACGAATGTGGCGCCCAGGAGAACATGAGAAAGCCTTCCAACACAACCACCCAACTATTTCAGCGACATATCCTTTGGAGAGGTGTTCCAACCTTTCCAACCCCCCAACCCCCCTCCCGCCCCCGAACCCCTTGTCACCCATGCGATTGCGCGCACGGAGCCTCCAGCTGCAGCCGCGCTCTGCGCCGCGCCTCCTCGGCGGAAAGCCGGCCGTGGCGGTGCAGCACCGCCTCGAGGCAGCGGCCCAGCTCCGGGCCGTTGAGCAACCCATCCCCGTCCTTCACGACACGCGACGGACACGCCGCGCGTCGCGTGTGGCGCGCCGCGCGGGTAAAGGGGGGGGGGGGGAGGGGCTAAGGTTGACCCTACATTCAACCTAAAAGCCCCGGTTGATTACTGTAATAAGAAGGGGGGTGTCCCTGGGGAATCATCACGTTTGGATGGGAGCACCCCCAAAGGAATAAACTGGGGTTGATTAATATGAGGTCAACATTAATTATGCTTGATGAGTTGGTTAACGTTTCGCACCGCGAGTCGTGGCGCTGGGACACTGCCTGGAGCTGATAAGAAGGTGATCACCGCTTGGAACCTTGAATGCAATCCCCCCCCCAAAAAAAAAACGCGTCAGGAGGGAATCCCTTCCTGAGCTTCTACCCCCAGGTCGCGCCAGACAGCTGCCTGGCCTGTGTTGCGACACGCGGATCCCCCACGCCACGAGCGCCACGAGAACGCGCCTCGTCGAACTCCTTGAGACACTCCGCCGCCGAAGGCCACATGAGGCGCGGTACCCAGATCGAGGCGACCTCTTTCCACGAAAATTTATCGCCTCACTCAGGGATCCAACTAGGTGTTCAAGCTGGAAACACTAGCTCGCAAATATGAAAGACACTCAAAACCCAAAGGCAATGCTTCCGCCAAACAAAAAGAAGAAAACCATCTAGTTGGATACCTACCGCCCTTGGTGGCGCTACGGGAAGTCATGGACTTGCTCTGTGCTGATCGTTTTGCGATTTGGCGGGGAAGTCCAATACTCGGCGCACTCCGCTGGGAGCGCCAAGTGAAGATTTCGTGCAAATTCGGCGAAAGAGACTTGAAAAGGAGTTCCCAAAAAAGAGATACCTCTTGAATCAGGTGTTTGGTGTGCCACAACAATTTGTTCCAGAGTACCTGGAGCCAACAGGATCCGTAGGACGGGCCAAGGCGCTGACGTCAACCCTATGAAATGCCAAGGTCCATAGTGCCTGGCTCACAATCAGCCGAAATGGGTGTGGCTCGAAACTAAACAGCGGTTGCACAAATCTGAGTCTACTTTCCCATTCACCAGGGTTTCATGTTGAACGGCCAATTCCGAGCTACCAAACAAACAGGAGCCGGCCCAAAACCCGGGTTATTGCTATAATACGGTCCGTTGCAATCACACCTATGAATTATAGAAACAAGCACTGGCCTCAATCACTCAAGCCCACTCTCGGATATACACACATGTGCTGCCTTTGGTGCAAGCGATCGGGTCCCGTTTCTTAGAGCCCGGTCGGTGTCTCTCTCCCCGTCTCTCTGGCGACCTTTCCTCTTCCCCTTGCCGATTGGCAGCATGTGCGTCGTTTGCGCGGCGGCGACCGATATTGACGCGACGCGCCGGAATCCCGAGAAACCGAAGCTAGAAATGGCCGGTGATGAGAATTCAGCCGCTCCGCCCTGTGAAAGTTCCAAAAAACACAACGCGTCCATCATCACATGTGTTTTTCTCATTTGTGAGGGGAACGGCTTGAGCGCACGCGCGGCCCAGGCGAGTACCCAGTCGAGCAGGCAAGAGAAATTGCGTGAAACTGGCTGGTGGGCGTAGCCATCAGAAACTTGTCGGTGCCGACCGTGAAAATCCGTGAGGCACAAGGACTGTTGATCCAGCACCACAAGCCGCGGTCCAACTGCGAAACAGCTTTGAAAGACACCAGCAGGGACGATTATACCGGCCTTTTTCTCCGCCCCGGAGAACATGAAAGCCCCCTGTTTTGGGCCTTCCGAGACGATGGCTTTGCACACTTGGGCCCGTGACGCGCGGCTTGCGCGGGTTTTCAGGAAAGCAACTTGAAGAGCACAAACTGCGCGAGCGGGTTCGACTCTAATGGCAATGGCTCGAAATTGATACGAAGCGCCCATTTTTTGGCTCTTTCACCATAGGTGTCTCTTGAGGGGATCCCACTGGCAAGTGATTAGAACTTCTAGAACTAAACTGGAAAACTGGAATAGCTCTTTAACCAAACTGCAGAGACCTCACCTGACATACCTCAAGGATCTGAAAATCATGGAAAATCAAGGTTCGCCTTTGGAGACCTAGGCCACATGGGACACCCAAAAGCTAGGTTCGATTCGCTTTGGACGTTCTGGAAACCGGAGTTTCAAAAACCAACCGGACAGCACAAGGATTTGGATCCTGTCTGGTCACTGGTTGCTCCAAGCCTAGAGTCAAAGTGAAACCGCCAGGAACTGGACCGCAGGTTTTGGCTCGACCCATGTTTGACCCAGAGATTCCGACATACCTAGCACCTTGCCTAGGAAAATGGAAACGGCCACGGGAAAGGGCCACCTTGGGGTCGCACATGGCCAAAGCCAAATCAAGGAACTTGGCTGTGGGATTTCGAGCCGATTGCCTCAACGCCGACTTGCATTGGCAAGGGCGCACTTGCAACCGATGTGGGGCCCAACGGCCTCCCATGGAAAGGCCTTCGCCGTCCTTCGCTGCTTCACCTCCTCTTTGGATTGGTTTGGGTAAACAACTGGGCGGGGATACCGGCGAAGCTGGATGTGCGAGGATTCCCTGTAAAGGAAGCCGTGTCCAATATGACCCGACAAATATGTCCACATCCTTGCTTCCTCTGTATCCCGCTGCTTTGCTTGTCTGATTGGTGGAGCTTCGGGGTTTTCCACTTCCCTCTTCACAAAGAGAGCCCTCCCCAAAACGCAAATGTCCAAAACCAGAGACACGCCCATCCCTTGGTAGCCAGCCAGCCTCTGAAAGAACGCCCCAAGTAGTCTGCCTCGAGGAATTCGGTTTTTCCAAAGACCAAAATGGCCTTTGCCCTAAGGCTTTAGACATGTTCAGGAAAAGGCTCTACGGGCATGGAGATTGCATATCACTGACCACTTGTTATCTGCAAGGGTAGACACTGCCTTAGAAGCTGTCACATGGACATCCGCACCTCTGATACCCATGCCCGAGAATGCCTCCTTCCGCTGGATGTAGACAAAACCCATACAAAAGCGGGAAAGCAGCACTGGCAACACGTACGTATGCCAGCTTTGCACGAATCAAAAGGACCATACCAAACCGACCCTATGACCACTCAGTAGTCCCCCGTAAAAACTGGAGTGTCCCACCTTTTTCCTGGGATGTCTGAAGATCTGGCCAGACTGATCCGGCCAACCAGTTACTGTATTACTTTTCGCCACACTCAGGAAAAACAAATCGGATATAAAGAGCCAAAAGGTGCTGCTCTCCCTGGATTACCCTCCCATTGGTGACCGACAAGGGGTGCCTTTTCAGAAGCTGAAGATTGGTCTGGCAATGGCTCTCAAAGAAAACCTGGGGAAGATCCAAGAACATCCAACTCCATTCAATGTCCCGAATTCGATTCAATGCTCAATACAGATCATACAGATCTACACCTCAAAATCCTTGCGCTCCATCTCACAGAAATCCGCTGGACCCGTGTTGTTGAAAAAAATAAACTCACCGTAGGCTTCTCCCGAGGCCCTGGTGTACACACCGTCGGCCCGCCAGCGACACAAGGAGAATTGGGGGTGCATTTCCCGGTTGATCCCTTGTTTAGCTCAGCTGTCCTAGTTCGGACCCAGAAATAAAACCGGACGTCCTCAAATCCCCTGCTAAAAGTTTTGCACGTTTAGTGGGTTAAATGGCAACCCTGGATAAAACCCAAAAAATCAAACACCTAAGGGGACGGCTGGGAGCCACCAAGAAAAGAATAGCCTTTTGGCGTCATGACTTAGAGTGGGAAACCAACAGGTCAAAAGGCCGATTCGCTTTGGGCAAGTGAGTTAGTGGTGAGAACCTTCTGTTTGGGGGGGCGGGGATCTCACCTCTTCTCAAGTCAAAGCTTTTCCCGGAACCCAACAATGAAAAATCGGGCTTCGCTCTCATGGCTGGTTTGGGGCCCGGTGGTTTTGAGCTTCCCATCCCACTTCCAAACAAAAAGGTTCAACCCCCCCCTCCCCCGCTGCCCAGTTCCCATCAAGCCAAGCTACCAACTGAGGGTTACCTGAAAAAGCGGGTAGCGCCTCTGCAACTCCAACTCGCCGGGAATTGCCGGGGGCGACTTCGCAAAAAGAAGCCTGGCCCTTCTGAACCGCGCATCGGATCGATGGGGTCCGGGGGCAGGTGTCGCGGGTGTCCACGTCATTGGGTGGAACAAAAGTCGGCGCAGCAGACGTTGGGCACGGGGCTGTCCTCAGCTTCCTCCTGGGGCAAGAGGACAATGTGTTCACATAGGCGTCCTTTTTTCGTCAATAGATGGCCCTGGTAGCAAAAGGGAACCACTGGGTAAACCAGGAATCGCCCTCTATTTTTCAGAAAAGTTTCCCAACACAACACCCTCAGAAGAAAGACACACCATGTTCCAAGACGCGATAATAAATCCGGCCAGGCATTTTTGAGGTGAGCCACTGCTAGACCAAATCATGCACTGATTCAGAGACATAGCAAGGGGAGCCAATGGGGAGCCTGTGCAACTTAAGAGCAACTTGTGAGTGAGAAAGAACCACTCAGGGCCATATCCCTGTTTTGGCTCCCCTTGCTATGGCTCTGACAGCATTATTGGATTCTTATCGTATGCCTCCCTTGAATTTGCAGGCCTGCTGCAAGGGGAAAATAGTCTTTTCACTTGGTCCGATGCGTGAAAAGAGCTCAAGCAGCAACTTCCAAGGGTCACCAGCAATTGGCGGGTTTCATTGAACATGCCATGTGTTGGATGTCTGGAGATGCTCCTGACGGGGAGGCCTTTAAGGGAAGGGTAGTTATTTGAGTCTGGCATGTGGATCTAACCCGGCCTGACATGGCAGCTGACTAGTCCCCGAAAGGAAAAGCAGCCTGTCTTCGTGGTTTCTTGGCGCTGGATGAAATTTGCAGCCCGCCTCCATGGAACCAAACGTGCGCAGAACAAAGCAAAACACAACAACCCCGAAACCAGCATGCTTTTTTGGGGGGACATTCCTGTTGGGCCTCCCTGTTTGCTATACTTGCAGCCGGCTTTATGGCATTGGCTGACGGGGTGTGCCTCCCAATGGGAAAAACACCAGTTGCAACCGAGAAGTGACCCTGCGTGGAAGTTAACATCCTTGCGACACTTGGATGTCCAACCTTCTTCGTCAGTAGGTGATAGGCACGGTGGCCCGTTGAAAAAGAACGGTGAGTTTCAAGGATTCAACCCAAAGTGCCTTCAACACGCAAGGAGATGCACCTTCAATTGTCTCAAACCACATGGGTGTGGTGTGTGCGCATTTTGTCCACCAAGTGGTACCCTTTTCGACTTGGTTTCAACAAAAAGCCGCAATCCCACCTTCGCCCTGGCACAAGACGGTGCCCTGCAAATCGGCCTGGTCCGGCCGTCTTGCGGCATCCTCCACCGTGACGGCGGGCCTGGCGGGAAAGAATCAGAGACAGCTCCGGCACCTCGCCTCAAGCGCTATGTGCGAACTAGTTGCAGGTAAAACCGAGTGGCAACCTAATGCTCAGCCAAGAAACGGCAAATTTCAACAAATATACGGAACCCAGGAGGCCCGTTGAAGAGGATGCATGTGTTTCACATTTCCAAAAACATAAAGGATCCATTTCCAGCCAGCATGGGACCTTCATGGACCTTCATGCTGGAGCCCGCGCAACACGCCCAATCCTGGCCATCTCTATCTACTTCGCTCTTCCGCATTCAAACGGGATCCGAGGCAAACGTACACGGTCCACGCCACCACGGCCAACAAAAAGCCGCCTGGAGCCAGGCCGAAGGATCCAACGCGGCTTTGGATGGACACTGGCTGCCAGGTTAAGATGCCACCTGGTCAAATGGACGTGCTCATCCCTGCCACGGCCAGAAAAGCATGCCCTGGAATGCTGGACCGCCGCAACGCGCGCGGTTGCCCAACTGAATGGTCTCAACTTGCGAGGAAAACCTTCAAAATGCCGGAGAAAGCGTCGAATCGGGATTTGAAATGAAACACCCTGCAATTGATGCAAACACCTTGTTAGGAAACATGTGAGACAGTTTTTCACATGGTCCTGCAGCAAATGGCAAAAGCGATGTTGGAGATGACCCCTGCAGCCATTTGGGGCCCAGGCTCATTGCGGTTGGGGAGGAAATGGTCACTTCTTCCTCCAAAATCTATGCTTCCCACACCCTTTTAACCTACCACATCATCCCTAAAGCTGTTCTGGGCTGTTTGGACTGTTGGACATATGAGCAATGAGTGGGTCTGGTTGTTGTGGAAAACCTGGTTTGCCCCGGGCACCCCAAACCTGCATGTAAGTAAGCGGGCTGACAACTCACCCCATCTCACCCTGGTGTACCTAGTAGGTGACCAGGGATGTAGCTTGTACTTCGTATATTGTGGCTCCCTTACCTACTTTTACCATGGCGGCAAGAACCACTTTCCGTGATACCGACATTTAGTCATTCCCATGACTAATATGGATGTGGCTCAAACGTAAACTGGGGTCACGCAGGACTGCAACCTCTTGCTTCCATATAAATGTTCATGCCAAAGTGCCATTGGGGATTCCATTTGTGAGCCACAGCCATATGGCTGTGGGTCAAAAACCATGTACCCCTGGTGAACATCAAAATAGGTGGAAAGTGGATGTTCATCCACCCCAAAATGGGATCGCCGTAGCTTATGCCCCATGGCCATATCAAATTCGACCAAAAGCATCGTTCGCAACTCTCTCGGCCTCTGAGCGACGCCCAGGTTCTTGGCTGAGATGGCTCCTCGGGACACAGGGTCCCTTCCATGAGCCACGGTCAGTCAACATGCGGTTACCCCAACCAGCGCCCGAGTCCCAACCACTGCTTTTTGGACAGCCATTGGGATTTTGGACAAGGAAAAAGCAGTTGTTGGGGGGGTGCTAGAAAGGACATGAGCAAATTGGTGAGTCGGTTCCAGAATGTGAACCAGGAGTTATCAACCAAAGTCGGACGCCGAACCCAACGCTTCCTGTCGCCATTCACAAACAAGGGAATACCGCTGGTTACCGACCAATGTTGACCCCGGATTAATCAACCTGGCGGATTCATAAGGGGTGTTGCCCGAAAGTGAGTGTGGGATTCCCTCACACAACACACACACACACACCTATACTCATCGAATAGGGGGGCTACTAATCCTGGGTTCACATTGCGGGCTGGAAGCCAACAACTCAGTCGATTCGCGTTCAAACAAATCAAGGCAGGCATGCAAGCTAACGTTCTTTGCCCCTAGGATCAAACAACTTAAGCCGCCGAACCTCTAAGTAAGGCCGGCTTCAACCACATGGATGTCCCTGATTTTGAGATTCAAGGTAGAAGGGCTACATAAATGCAGTATTGCCTTGTGATCGTGGCTTGTTTTTGTTTCAGAGCACCCCGCAACCTCATCTTAATTATCTGGCACTCATTGTACTTAGTTTGTTGACACCCAAGGCTCCAAATCAGTTTCAAGACCCATTTCTTTGACCCTCACAGGTTTATAACATACAAAGGGCTCAACAAACTCTGATCGCCTCAATTTCGGGTAACGACCCAGTCCTAGGCATTTGGCTTACCCAGCCCCACAAATCCGGGGGCCAGACCCCTTGCCTCGCCCAGGGTACATAGCTTCCGTTTTATATCGCGCCAACCCTCCAAAAAAGAGAAGAAGCAAAACTCGCGGAACAACAGGATGAAGAGAGATTTTGTCCTAACCCAAGTGGACCTCCGCTCGCCCCACGGCGTCTTGATCTCTGGGAATCCGGGCTGACCCCCTTGCTGGGGGGTCTATGCCCCGCCAACTCCTAACGAACCCCGGAGAGGAGGTGCGACATGGGTGCTTGTCTTCTTCTTCTTCTTCTTTTTTTCCGGGAAGCCTAAAAGTGATATCAGGGGTGGGCGTTGGCACCATCCCCTTGTGGCTTTCCATTGGTGGAATTGGGTGGTTCGAGGTTGGGGGTGGTTTCTCCTCTCGCTGAATCATAGTTGTGGAAAGTCGCCTGTTCGAGTCTCTATCTGTGATGCCAAAGTGGCATTAACATGCCCATGACAAGTCTATCACTTCAAGGGCACCCAGGATTCCCACCAGTGACCTGAACACTCGAAAAAAGGGGCTAGTTGTTTCTTATCGACGAGAAGGTGGGGCTGGCTTTCCTGCTTTTGGGCTGGGGTTTGGAATTGGTCAAGCAGTTGGTGCGCAAAGATGGCTTCGGGCCCAAGGAAACTCCATGTTCAAGATGGCCAGGCATCCTTGAAGCAACGGTTTTTTGGGGCTGGGTTTAAGTGTAGGGATTGGTGCAAAGATGGCAAAAACGCTTTGTGCTTGCCTTGGCAACCAGGCGCAATTATTTCCCCTGGCTGAAGGTTTGAAGGATTTTCAGCTTCTAGATGAACAATTCGCATCGGGGCGTCCCATTTGAATTCGGAGATCCAGATCTGATCCGAATTGAACATCCCAAGCCTGAGCGCACCCTTTTTTAGGTGAACTAAAATAATTTCACCAGCCTGAAATAAGGTGGTTGGGGGGCTATTCCCCACATAAACCACCATTTGGGGTGAGGACATGTGAGGTCGTTATAATTCACCCAGACTTGATGTGAAAGGGAACCTCAAACCGGTTGCTTCTTCGTTGAGCCCTCGCTAAAAGCACGCGTTGGACTGTCCGCGAAGAGTCAAGCTGGGTCTTGAGGGTGGAACCGCCCAACAGGAAACAGGCACCGGGCAGTGACACCTGGACCACCGAAAATGTGTCAAAACCGGGATTCGACCCTCTCCCCGCCGCCTTGATATACTAGGTCCTCCAGTAGAGAGGTTAGAATATGGGTACCCTTTATTCTGTAGTCTAATTTAGTAGCCTCCCCGAAAAAAGTGTAAAAGGGCACTACTGGGGGACCTTGTTTCCAATAAGGGGTACACTGCTCATGCCTCGGCTTCGGGAGCGACGGACGGACGGCCCACACCTGCTGGTGCATGGTGGCATCAATGACCCGTGCCTGGGCGCAGCTGATTCTTGTTCCGAGTCCAGACAAGGGAGCCATGGAATGACCCCCTTCCAGCCCAAGCGATATGGTCGCTTGGGAAAGAAGTGACTGTATAATATGTTCGCAGCCCTACCAGAAATGAGAACCAACTAAACAAAACAAAACAAAAGAAATGTGACAACAGCGAAGGAAAGACCTGGTTGATTAATAGGGGAGGTTGAGGGTCCGAGAAGTTCAGGGTCCGAAGAGTCCCCTTTTTTGTGGGGATTCCTCACTCTTGTCGGTGAACCCCCATCGTAGGGTGATGTATTTATTAATCTGGGTTCCTGTTAAGCTGAGCTCGAACGTTTCGGAAGGGACCCAAAATCAAAGGAACCAACCAAATTGAGTTCCCTTCCGCGATTTCCGGTGAAACCCACCAAGATTAAAATGTCTTTCTCTTTTTCTTCCGAGTACCATGGCTACCCCTTTCCAGGTGGGCTTTTCCAGGTTCCAGAACCAGAGGAGCCCCAGCGTTTGCGTTCCAAATTTCCCCCCCCCCCCCCGACGACCGACGCGGACCCAAAGCTCCGAGCTGCCGCAGCGTCCGCATGGCGGGGCTCCACAGTGCCGTGGGCGCCCTTGAGGTATTGGATCCACTCCTCACCCCAGACCCTTGGAACCCAACCCACGGGTCCAGCAAGGGGTTTTGGAGACGAAAGAGGCTGGAGACTGGAAGGTTTGGGAGAGAAGGGGAGAAGCAGCTGATGGACAGAACTTGTCGAAGCTTGAGAATATCCAAGGATGGAAGTGGAAGAGAACAGCACCTGACCATCTGGCGGAAGGAAGGATTCATTTCTCACTTCAGTGGATTGGCGCGAAAAAGCTGCCGCACTTGTCCCACTCAATCTAAACACCAAAAAGCGACCAAAAAGTCCGAAACGGAACTCAGAGAGTGAGCCGAAGGAAAACCCGAACAGCCTTGGATGACCCTAAGGCCCCAAGGTTCCACTCGGGGTCCGTTCGCATGATGATCCTAAGCTGAAAAACATTTACTAGAACCTCTGCCCTAGGTGTTCTTGGGCAAGCTGCGAGATAACTCCCGGACTGGAAATCAGGGAGCTTATAGAACAACCAACACACACACACACACTTAAACTCCAGATGGAGGGTGCTAATCTTTCGAGTACAACTGATGAGTCTCGAGTACAACTAGTGAGTCTCGAGTATGATGAGTTTCGGCTCGCAAGACGCTTGGTTTCCGCGGGCAAAGAGGGGACCTTGTTGGGGGAGTCCTCTGGCTGCCCACGACGGGCCCAAAGAGCGACTCGATGCAGGTACATAGCTGAGCGTCTCCAGCCACCTCCCTTCCAGTGACCTAGCTTCGTTGGATCAGGTCAGTCACTGGAAGCCTGATCCCCCTGCTACTAATTGTGGTGACAGGGTATTCTGCCACTCCGCACACACACGCCCCTCAGTGAGGGGCGAGAAGCCTCTTTTTCAGCAGAAAGATCACATCCTCAACTTCGTATCTCTATCGTTTACCAAAATATCCACAGCGGCGAGGAGAACGCGAAACTGCCCGAAGCCGCTCAGAAGACGGGAGCGAAAGATCACCACGATGAGCGTGACGGGTGTCGCCATAGAAGACCGGAGGAAGTTGCAAAGCAGTCGAGCGATCACCGTCAGAAATTTCTGCACGTCAACAAGTGATTGATCCTGGGCTTGATGAGTGGAGAAGGACTCAAAGCGAGAAAGAATGCGTTGGTAACCTCGATGTTGCCAGTCGCGAATTGTCCACGCCTGACTGTGCCAATGGGATCAGTTACCCGCTTCCACTCCCGAAACGAGTTGTCTGGTAGGTCAGGTACGGCTTCTTCTGGTTGCCGCAGCTGAGGTTGTCCTGGAGTATAGATCCGCACCCACTCCTGATCCTGCCAGACTGAATATTCGAGCCATGGGTGCTGCTCAGCGGTTCGGCCCGACGTCTGAGTTGCATCCTCGATGTCCATGCCGAAGTGAAAGACAGGGCGTACCGCGGGTTCCGATCCAGCTAGCAAAGAAACAGTCACCATGCACAACCGTGCACAACCAGCAACTACACAAGCAAGCACGAGCATGAGAAAGTACCCTTTTGTGCCATGATCAACACGCATCAGTCTATTCATCATTTAGCTCGAAGATAGGCTTCTCCTTGTTGGTGGAGCTGCATGGTTGGGTCGTAGGTAGATATGGATCAGAGACCCCAATAGACTCAGGTGGTTCAACTCCACGAGATGCACGTACTGGTTGGTGCTGATGGGACGCTTGACGCGCGCGATCCGACAGTTGCTGAGAGATCCCATGTTGAAGACGAGTGAGATCCTCAGTGGAGAAAGCTGCAGCATCCGATGATCTGAGAATCGCATTCAACATTTGCGGTGACATACACAAAGCCGATGATTGCGTGGCCACGCTATGTTGATCAGGAAAAGACATCGAATTGAAGCCGTGATCAGCTTGAGGGGCAGCAACTCGCCGGTAGCCCTCTGTGGCCCAGTCCCTTTTGTACCAAATGCTGTTGGTGGACTGCCCGCCTTCTTGATCAAGATTTGGGACATAGAACTCCTTCCACTCTCTGTATGTATGGGGCGGAGGCGGATCATCACGTTCGTCCTGTGGAGTCCATGATCCCGGATGAAAAAATCTTGACCCATTGAGCATCTGGTTGTTGAGGATCCGGACACCACTCCAGCCACGGCATGACAACTCAAACCCTGGATGCAAAATCGAGAGGTGCACGGCTGCAGACTACACATGCAAGCAAACACTTTTGTAGCAAGGCGCGGCTCAGGTGTCGAAGTCCCTCGCCCCAATCAAATTGAATATCATGGAAAGACGAGGACGAACATCAGCCACCATCCGCGAGGATGCCGACGAAGAGGACAGCCCAGCGTACATGAGGTCTGCTGGACGTGCAATGTTGGGGCGCGGATGGCCGAGCCGTTGATATCCTCTGGTGACCCAGTCACGATACTGCCATGTGTAAAAGGATGCATATGAGACCGGCTGGGAAACAGAGCTCATAGTGGTGCCTCCCGTGCTGTCACTAGGCCAACACACGTCAAAGTGGTCGAACCTGCGCCATTCCCGATAGGTTGTTGTGTCATCCGGAGCCGGTCCCAAGGTGGATTCGGCGACTGGTTGCCACGGACCGGGTACATAGACTCGAATCCATTCAACGCTTGTGCTCGCAGGGCCATTGACGATGTCGTACTCAAAATAGCGTGGTAGGGACCATCTTGCAGTGCCACATATTGTGGAATTGAACATACCAAACCAGATAAGCCGCTTTGAGGCAAAAGGGAGCGGCGAAAACATAGAGAAGGAAAGCACAACACAAGCCAAGACAACCCAAGTTGAAGCAGCAATCAAATCAGGCACAATCGCATCGTTTTAACCGACATGTTGCTCAAGCATCAATCCGATTCGTTCCAATCAAAATTAGGATCATAGCTCGGTGGGGGAGAAGGTTCCCGCCACGCCCGATTCCGGAACTGAAGACTCCGACGAGGAAGTAATTTCTTCATTCACGAGCTCCGTCGATCCAATGGTTGGTCGTGGATTGCCAAGGCGTTGATAACCTCGCGTGTTCCAGTCTCGGAATTCCCACACGTGATATGACACGTATGACATGGGCATGACATTGGGGTCCGCAGCTGTCCCCCGGCGCTGTCTGCGGGCAAGTACACGTCAAAGTGATATGACTTGCGCCACTCCCGATACGTGGAAGCGTAGTCCGGGGCACGTCCCAGGGTAGCTGTGGCCACAGGTTGCCACGGGCCCGGTGTGTATATTCGAATCCACTCCACGCCTCTCTCGATGTGGTACTCAAAATAGTGCGGGTACATGATAGCCAAATGTGTCGTCACAGTGCTGTTGAAAGAAAGCGCAAAGCCAAGGGATCTGCGGCGAAACACTCATGCCATGACAACCCTGACTGCAATGTGAATGTGTTGAGCAACGCAATGCAAGGCAACTTTTCAAACTGAAGGCGGGACGAATCAACAGAGTCTGCAGTATACAACAACTATGATTCACCGCCGCTGATGCCGCACACACCTGCAATGGTATAATGTCCTGGTCGGCGACGAGCACAGGGAGAAAGACACTTCCGTCCATGATGTAGAAAGCATGACAGTAATGCTTGCAACTTGTTGATGCAGACCGTGATGGACGAGTAGCCCGTTGTGAGGGGAACACAGTGAAGGGTCGCCGAGATCTCCGCATGACAGTAGCGGATGTTGTTCGAGAGCGTTTTGGAGAACGCGTGAGACTGCGTAGATCATCATCACGGAACTGGTCAGCGCTGCGAACAGAGCGGCGTGTGCGCTGAGATTTCATGGTGGCCGGGCATGACTGTCCTCGAGGAGAGGGGCTCGAGGAGGCTCGCAATGTGGGCATAAACTGTGGGTGAAGAATCACCGGTGGTGGTGGTGGTGGAGGAGGTGGAGGTGGAAGAAGTAATGGAAACCGTGGCGGGGCTGGAGGTGAAGCAGTCAATCGAACTGGTCTGTCAAGCAATGTACCAGGCCCGTGAAACTGTAACCACGTCGGCTGCGCTCCATGGGTCCAAGTTATGAATGTCTGCACATCTTGCTCCAACATGATTTGAACACTCAAACCCGCAAGTCGAAGAGATAAACGCGGTAGCAGCTCGCCATGCATGATATCCAAGTCATCAGCAACTTCCATGACAACCAACAATGCCCTCAATGTCAGAAATGTCATGAATGTCTTTCAAGTCCGCACTGCAAAGTACGCCAGCCATGTCATGCAAGCAAGTGAGAAAGAATCATGCGATCTACCATGGCTGCAATTCAAACCATCTCGTCAACATGCAACGCTCACGGAATGCACTGCCACCTTCCGGGAGTCTTTCGTTCTCTTGATGCAAAGTGCCCTAAGCGCGAGCCTCAAGCTGCTGGTAGACCTTCCAGGCTTGCTTGACTTCCTCTGTGGGCTTCTGAAGGAAACGGGCAATGGTTTTGTAGGTGGGCCTGGAATCCTTGTCCTTTTTCCGTCTGACCATCTCATCTAGTTCACCCTGTGTCCATGCCGTGAACGGTTCAAGATGTGCATTGCGAAGGGCAATAGTGAATTCTTGTAGAAGTTCACGAGGTCCATGAACCACCGTGGGAGAACGATGAGGCACCTGGATGTGGACGAACTGAACCATCCGATTCCGAATCAGGTGTGGTAGGCGATGCCTGTCCTGGTTCACGACCGTTGCGAGGGGGAAGGGGAGCAAGAGGTCTTGGCGGTGGTAACCGATCCAACATTGTCTCCGGACGGCGACCAGAAGTACTGTCAGTGGCATCCCGATGTGCCTCACGAGGTGGGGATAGTGCAGGTATATGCCAGGAGTATCCATAGGCCGGGCTCGGATAGTGGGAGTGCGAGACCGATCGGACGAGATGCGCTCCGTGATGATGCGAGGGCGCAGTCCATGCCTGGAATTCCGTGGAGCCCTGGGAGACACTCGGGTGTCGGAATGCTGGTTTCGCTCTGTCGCCAGGGCAAAGTTCAAGGTGTCCAGGGCAGTCGCCACTTGGGATGCGAGGACATTGAGTACCGCCACCAGGTTGTTCACGAACTCCACTGACAACTGCATGGTAAATGA